TGGAAAATTTCATCTCAATCGGATAATAAATGCGACCTGCATTTTGTTCACAAGAATACATGGACAGACGGACGAACGGACGGACAGACGGACTGACATGCATAAATCGACTCAGAAAGTGATTCTATGAAGGTTCTCAAAAGTAACTATGGGTCTATCTCGTTTCCTTCTCCACGTTACAAACAAATGCACAAAGACATAATACCCTTACCACTATGTGGTGTAGGGTATAAAAATGGTTAAAAGGCTCGCAAGCCAACCAGTAGGTGAAGTGATATCTAATATCAAAATGGAATTGAAGCCTGGGAACATGTTTTGATATAGTCGTAACATTTAGTACAAATCCTTTAAGGTATATAATAAAAATATCTCAACTTAAACTCTGAAACAAATTGTATTTCTGCATCATACTCATGCCAATAGTAGTATAACATTCATATCACGGAATCAATGAATGAATTTGTGACGTATTGTTAATAAAATACTTAAATGATTAATCAGTCAGTTTGTTCAATGGTTTCAAAGAAAAACAAATGCAAAACAGTTACTCTATTCTCGTACTTGGAATATTTAGAAATTTTGCAAACACAGTTTTTTTCTCTGTTCATTGAATACGTGATTCTGCAAATACCGCAAAACAGCCACTGATCGAGTGAGTAATTTTCGCAGCCACCATGTGACACACTGAGCTGTACAAAAACAAACCCCAGTAAAAAAACAAGTTTAGATAAAACCCAAACAAGAATATTAAAAGTAAAGAATTCAATATTTTTTTGTTTGGGGTGTGAAGAAGTAATCCGTTAAATTGTAAATTTGAAAAAAAAAAAAAATAGTAAAAATTTTAATTTAAAAAAAATTCTTTTTAATTTTTACAAAAAATAGTAAAAATTTAAATTAAAAAAAACCTTTTTATTAATAAAAAAAAAAAAAAACACTAGTGAGATAGTATCAGTCGGTTTTGCCGACAGATGTATACCCCCAGACTTGACTTATGAATATTCAAACCGCCGACTCTTTAGGGGGATGTTCCGAAGCGGTTGGTCAATATTGGTATCTGATCAGACCGATTCGTATCTGAACTAGTACAAATGTTTGTATGTGGGATGTATGGATTTTGAAGCTTACTTAACTTTCTTTGAGCGTTTTGTTTTTCAAAATCTTGAACCCTATGTGGGGGAGGTACCAGAAGAAATGTTGCGATCTCTACCATATTTATAACATATTTTGTGTTGATGGAAATATTGAGGTGTGCCCAGTTTGAATGGAATCGGATGTTAATTTCGTGTTTTATGAGCTTCATGGATATTCAAAATGTTAACCCTTTATGGGGGAGGTACCAGAAGGAGTGGACCGATGTATTCCATCTTAACACCAGATCTTGATCTTATAAAAATATTGAAATGTGTAAAATTTATAAGAGTTATAATTATTCGAAATTTTGACAGTCTGTGGGAGAGGTACTTGCTGTAGTAGACCGATATTGTCCATTTTCGCATCTGACCTAGCGCTGATGCAAATATTACGACATGCAAAGTTGGAGCATAATCCGATTTTCTCATTTCTGTGTGGTAAATTATTTTCTTTGAAAATGTTGACATTTTGTGGGGGAGGTACCAGAAGGAGTGGTCCGATAATGCCCATCTCCGAACTCGATCTAAGACAGACAGATGGACGGACAGACATCGCTAGATCGACTCCAAATGTCCTGCAACGGATTTGGTCCAAAAAGACCTAGGGTCTAAACCCATTAGTTTGATGAGGCACATTTTGGCCATATCAAATGATATATACCCTCTCGGGTCATATGGCTGAGGGTATAAAAAAACAATGTTGAGGGCTTGAAAATTATTCAACAAATATTCTTAAAAATTTTAAAAAGTATCAACCAGTATCAGACTTCTACCATCTATCTGTATGTATAAAAGTGTATTGAAATAACTGACTGACCGAGACGAAACGGCTGAGGCTTGAATCTGGAAATTTTGCATAAGGGTCAGTCATGGTGCGTAGGCATGTAATAAGGTTGTGTTTTTGGAAATTCGTGCCGAAAGGATACGAAAAATACTAAAAATTGAATTCTTTGTATTGGACAAACGAAATGAGCTAGAACTCAGAAATTTGAAGTGAGAGTCACTCCATTACAGACTACTGATTTGGATATTTTGGGAAATTTAGGGTTTTTAGAAATTCGAACTTTAAGGTTAAAAAAAGTTCTAAAATGGTACTAAACATCTAAAATTAAAAAAAAAACAAATTTTGAGTTCTGATTGGTCATGAAAAAATATTCCTAAATATCGACGTTACAAGCTCTGATAATCCTAGAATAAATCCAAAAAATCGATTTGAGAACGTTTTCAAAAAATATTACCTGGAAAAAAAAAAACAGTTGAAACCTGCGCTGTTTTCTAAATTATTCTCTTGTGAAATTTAGATTGAAAGCTTCAAGATTTATTAAAAATCTACGCTGAGAACGTAGGTTGTCCTTGAAAAAAAATCCACATGGAGAGCCTGGATAATTGACAAAAAAAACTCTTTAAAAATCAACTTAAAGAGCTTTGGTAGTCCCTTAAAAATATAAAAAACACGTTTGGATTTCTGATAGGCCTTGAAAACACATTTCAAAAAACCAGTAAGGAAAGGTCAAAAGGAGGGACTGACTATATTTTACCCTACATCACTATGTGTACTTAGAAGACTTCTTGAAACAAAATTGGACTTTTATGGGAAGTAGATCATATCTCTTTGGACCAAATCCGTTTCAAGACATTCGGAGTCGATCTAGCGATGTCCGTCCGTACATTCGTCTGTCTGGTGGGCACGATAACTCTCGAAGGGAGCACCCGATTTGATCCAAACTTGGTATATCTTAATATTATTATCAAACTTAGATGGAGTTCGGAGATGGGCAATAGATGTCCACTCCTTCTGGTCCCTCTCGCACAAAATGTCCACATTTTCAAAGAAAATAATTTACCTCACAGAATGAGAAAGGATAATCCGATTTTGCTCCAACTTTGTGAATCCTAATATTTGCATCAGTGCTAGGTCAGGTGCGAAAATGGACAATATCGGTCCACTCCATCAAGTACCTCCCACACAAAGGTTCAAAATTTTGAATATCCATGAAGATCATCAAAAGCGAAATTATTCTCAATTACACTCAATATTTCCATAAAAACAAGATCTGTTATAAAGAAGGTAGTTTTGCATGTACCAATTGTTTGGCCCAAGGACGAACCCTATTGAAATTGGAGATAATCGGTAAAAATTTAGATATAGCTCCCATATATATCTTCGTCCGATTTGCCTTTTATTGTGCACCAAACGTGTAATATCAGCCCGAATAGTATGGAATTTTGCACATACAACCAAATAAGGCCTGAAAATAAGTATGCCAAATTTGATCGAAATCGGTTCAGATATAGCTATAGCTCCCATATATATATTGTTCATCAGATTTGTTATTTTTGTCCCTCCACAGCCGTAATATGCACTCTGTATCAACAATATTTGGGGAAATACATCAAATGCAGCTCAGAAATACCTTTGCAAAATTTTATCGAGATCGGATCAGATTTGGATATAGCTCCCATATATAACTTCGTCCAAATTACCTTTTATTGTGCACCAAACGTCTAATATTTGTGAATTTGGGATGGAATTTGGCACATACGACCGAATTTAGTCTAGAAGGTAGTATGCCAAATTTGGTGAAGATCGGTTCAGATATAGCTATAGCTCCCATATATATTGTTTATCCGATTTTTTGTATTTGTTACCCACAGCCGTAATATGCACTCCGTAACAACGATATTCAGGGAAATATATGAAATACAGCTCAGAAATATCTTAGCCAAATTTTATCGAGATCGGTTCCGATTTGGATATAGCTCCCCAAATATATCTTTATATGATTTCAAATTAATTTTGCACCAAATGGACAATACAAGTCCGAATTTAAAAGATACAAATGTTTCGGCATATTTAGTCCTTTGAATTTTAAATTATAATTATAATCATAGGGTGTATAATTGAATTCTCCCATAAAAACTTTTAATTGTTATGTGGAACTCAACTAAATTAGCAAAGTGGTGTAGGGTATCATAAAATCTGGCCCGCCCGACTTTAGGACTTTCTTTACTGGTTTTAACTGCATTAAATGAAGTATGAGAATGGAATACTTCCTTCCGTTATATCTTTTACCTCACGCATTTTTCGACATATTCCGAAAATTTGCTCACATCTCACATAAAGTGAAGGAAGTAGTCGATTTATAGTCCAAACCTGGCACATTGTAATATTTATATTAGTCTTTGGTCAGATACGAATTGGTCAATATTGTCCAATAGCTACGGAACCTCTCCCATAAAGAGTCAACAGTTTCAATAATCATAATTCAAGGCTGGGGGTACACATCTGTCGGCCAAAACCGACTGATACTATTTTACTTTTTAAAATCGACTTTGACAGTGTTTTAATTTTCAAAAAAATTACTTTTTAATCTCTGGTAGTCTTTATAACTTTTTTCTTAAAAAAATCTACATTGATAACTTAAATAGTCATCCATCGAGCTCTTAAAATGTCCTTGAAAATCCAGTTCTAATATCATTTGTTGTAACCAAAGTCGATTTTGTTTAATAAATTTCTAATCTAGAGTACTGTGTGGTATTAATTGTAACGAAATGGTCAAACCCACAAATTTAACACAAAATTCCCCCAAATGACTCATAACCTCATAGATAAACTTGTATGTGCTCAATTAAAATCATAGATTTGTTTTGTTTTTAGTTTTGGAATTGCCACAAAATGCAAAAAAAAAACTGAAATAAAAACAAGAAATTAAAACATAAACAAGTCAACCAAGCCAACCACAAGTAGAGCTTCAAACACATCCAAGAATTGGAAAAAAACCCTCAGCAAACATGAATGACACAACCAAGCGACCGAAAAACAAAGAGTACGAACTCCAGCATAAGTGAACGATAGGAAGAGCGAGAGAGAGAGAGACATAGCCAGAGATGGGCTTGAATACCATTCATGTGCTGCTCAGTCATTGATACGACTTCCATCGCACCAGTTGCTAAGGCATATCAAACATTCAGTTGTAGTTCGAACGTTAGGTAGTTCGGTTGTGTTTACGGTTGTTATTATTATTTTACTACGACAGCTTGTTAGCGTCCAAGTGCTAAGCGTGCTTATTGAGATATTAACAATCTATTAAAAGTAGGCAAATATTAATCTGTAGAAAACAGTACCACCGCCAACAACAACAACGACGAGAAGTGGTTTTTGTATTAGGTTGGTAGTCATAATGAGATACAAAAAAAAAAAAAAAAAAACAAAAAAAAATTAAATAAACAAAAATGCTTTTTGTTGTGATTTGAAATTCATTATTGGCATGGAAATGTGAAGTGATTTAAAAAAAAAATAATAATAAATTTTGTGCTCGATTTTAAGTAACATAATATTCACCAAGAGCTGGAGGTTGAAGATGCGAAAAACAAAAACAAATAAAAACAAAACCTCAAATTTAATCTGAAAAAAAAAAATCCAATGAGAACGTGTTCCCCAGAAAACAAAAGACTTAAGCAACAAACCTGTGAAACTTAATCTAACCAAATGAAAAAAAAAAGAAAAAAAAAAAAAAACAAGTTAAAAAGCACAAAGAACTTTGAATACCCTCCACCCTTCAACGAATTTGGAAATTTAAAAAAAAAATAAAATTCTTAAAAAATTCATTTAAAATTTTAAAAATACCGAATATAGCCATTATTTTGGGATTTATACGATGTGGACCTACATAGGCATTATTTGTCATAAGCCATTACCATATTCAAATTCGAAAATTGAAATAAACGGTGAATAATGTAGCTAAAATCATCAAAAAAATTCATATATGGGGAGGTAACGTAATATCGGAGCTGTGCGAAGACCTGGAGCAGCATAGAAAATACTCTGTCATAGGCTGTAGCATCCATTGCGAACGTCAAATACGACATCTCAAATAATTTCGGTGCGTTTAGTACCTAAACTTGTCGAAATACCGAATATCGGGAGGTACTGATATATGGGGTCTATACGAAGACCTGGACCTGCATAGATAATTTTCTGTCACAGACTGTAGTTCCTTTTACGAACTCTAAATACGTAATTTGAAACAATTCCGGTGAAGAATGCCGATAAAATCATCAATATACCGAATATTGGGAGGTACGGTTATATGGGGGCTATACGAAGACGTGGACCGGCACAGACAAGTTTCTGCCTTAGGCTGTAGTATCCACTATGAACTTCAAATACCAAATTTGAAACAATTCCGGCGAATAATTTCGCTAAAATCATCAAAATACCGAATATAGGGAGGTACCGTTATATGGGGGCTATACGAGGACGTAAACCTGCACAAACAATCTCCTGTCGTATGCTGTAGTATCCATTACGAACTTCAAATACCAAATTTAAAACAATTCCGGTGAATAATGTCGCTAAAATCAACAAATTACCGAATATCGGGAGGTACCATTATATGGGGGCTATACGAAGACGTGCACCGGCACAGACAATTTTCTGTCTTGGGCTGTAGCATCCATTTCGAACTTCAAGTACCGAATTTGAGACAATTCCGGTGAATAATGTCGCTAAAATCATCAAAATACCGAATATCGGGAGGTACAGTTATATGGGGGGCATACCAAAACGTGGACCTACATGGCCCATTTTCAATACCAAAAGTCCTGCAGACATAGTATACATTTGAGTAAAATTTTATCAATCTACTTCAATTCGTTCGGAAGCGAGAGTGATTTCCACAGACGGACAGACGGATAGATGGAAAGACGGACGGACATCGCTAAATCGACATAGAATTTTATGCTGATCAAGAAATTATATATAATTATATATTTATATATAATTTGTGGGGACTAAAATGTTTATTTCGAGGTGTTACAAACGGAATGACAAACTTAATATACCCTCCATACTATGGTGAAGGGTATAACAACAAAACAAAATTGTGGTCACACATGGACACCGAACACAAACCTAATCTCATGAAAATATTGTAAACAAGTGGATTGGATGTTGAGAACATAAAGTGTTGAAAAAAATTAAAAAAAAAAAATAGCAAATATTTGGATTCGCACTGAAAAAAATGCTAAATTCTGGGAATTCCCTATTGTCCGGATGTACTTTTCCGTTTTTTTTTCTCTTCCAACTAGCCGGCCGATCACGTGAATACTAATCAGCAAAAGTGCAATAAACTGACTGACAAATGCAAATTATCAGCAAATTTCCATTGTAGCCTGTTGTGACAGCAAATTAGAGTTCTTCGAATAGCTTGTCTCCCAAAAAAGGGGAGTAGTGCGAAAATTAAAAAAAGAAAAAAAAAAACAAATTAAAAAGTATCAGTTGATTTTGCCGACAGATGTATACCCTCAGCCAATGTTCGTTTATTTGAATATATTTTGACTTCTGTTGAGATTTTTTAAATTGTTGACCTTTTATAGAGTAGGTTCCGTAGGAGTGGGTCAATATTGTCCAATTCGTATCGGAGCTAAATAAATATGATACAAATATTGCGACGTGCCAGATTTGGACTATATCGACTACTTCCTTTACTTTATATGAGATATGTGATAATTTTTAGGAAATGTTAAAGTGTGCCTTAGGTACCAGATATAGTCGTCCAAAGTATTCCATTACCATACTTCATCTTATTTAGATAAAACCAGTAAGGAAAAGTCAAAAGTCGGCCGGGGCCAACTGAAACCCTACACAACTATGCATATTTAGTAGAGCTCCCGTAACAACATAATTTATTTAAAGTAGATCATACCACCTATCAACATTTGGCTTTAATGCAGTTATAGACTGGTTTCAGACGGAACTAATATATCGGAGACATATCCAATTCTGAAGAGATGTTCACCAAACTTGACGGAGACGTTTTTATCTTTTTAATGCCAAATAACATTGCTTGATATCACTTCGAGAAGGATTTTATAAGAAAATATATATCGGATACTAGTTCCAAAAAATGGAAACGTACGTCCCGAAATTCACTCCATTTGGGCTGATATTAGCCATTATTTGTACAATAAATATATCCATATATCTATATCCAAATCCTAGCTGATCTCGATAAAATTTGGCAAAGGTATTACCGAGCTCTATAAGGTACCTGATACACAATATCATTTTTGTGGGGTTGATATTGCGAATGTGAGGAAGTTAAAGCCCCAAATCGGATGAAATATATATATGGGAGCTATAGCTATATCTGAACTAATTTGACGTACTTGCATCTAGACTGAATTCGGTCGGATGGGACAAAATTCAGGTCATTTGGACTGATATTGGCCATTTGGTGCACAATTAATCTGAAAACGTTTGAAGATATATGCAGGGTGAGATGAAAAAACAGCAACAAATTTTTACATTTTTTTTAAATTTTATCAAATGAAAGCAAAAAATGTCGGAAATAGGATCAAATTTTAGAATAAGTTTCAATTTGTTCGAATTGGCCTTCAAACGGCCAATGAAACCGTCACACTCTGCCCGAATGTTGCTCTGCCGTATTTTGGCCCATTCCCGGCGAAGCGGATGCTAGAGGTGATCGACGCATTGGTATTTTTTAGTGCCAGCCTTCCTTTCCAAAATACTCCAGTATCCATTGTTATCCAAAGATTTTGGTGACCATTGAGCGCTGGTAATGAAGCGAAGAACCTCATTTTGTAACCATTCTCGGGTGGCGCGTGCTGAGTGCGATGGTGCTGAGTCCTGTTGGAATGTCCAAAGTCTGCGGCCAAAATGTTTGCGTGCCCAAGGCTTTAATACACCCTTCAGATTATTTTCACTATAATATTCGGCATTTATTTTGATGCCACGGTCGATTAATACTAGCGGAGAGCGACCATCGGCTGTTATAGTGGCCCACATAATCACAATGGCCGGAGCTTGAGTTATGGTGGCCAACCGAAGGTGCACATTTTCAGCTGACCTCTTTGGCAAGTAAACACGATGATTTTGTTTGTTTACAAACTGTTGGACAACGAATGTTTTCTCATCGGAGATCGGAGGAAAGCAAATTCGGCAGATCTCTACTTTCGGCAGTTCACCAAGCGAAGCAACTCTTTACCTCTTTTGAGTCTATTTTCCTTCTGTTGCGGTGTAAGTTCTTGCACTTTTTGGAATTTTAATGGATTTATCCCGAACTCATTTTTCAATATTTGCCGAATGGAATATTGCGATATATTCATCTCGCGAGCCATTTTTCGGCCACCGCGACGCGGGTTCCGATCAAATCGCTTTAAATTTATTCACATTTAAATGCTGGAGTGCTCTAACGATAGCCACTTGTGGTTTTCCAGGCAAATATAAAGAAATCACACTATCACGCTTGAATTCCATCACGAATAAATTTTTTTCTGGAAAATTTGTACGCTTATAAACAATATAATGAGCTGTCCATGGAAAAATTTTAACAGCTGTCGGACGAGTGGCTTAGAAATGACAGCAGTCTGAAATTGGTTGCAGTTTTTTCATCTCACCTTGTTGTTTGAAGACAATCGGATTTTTACATCACATTTTATAAGGGTTATAATTATTCAAAATTTTGACCTTTCGTGGGGGAGGTACTTGATGGAGTGGACCGACATTGTCCATTTTTTTCACCTGACCTAGCACGGATGCAAATATTGGTATTTGCAAAGTTGAAGCAAAATCGGATCATCATTTCTCTTTCTGTGCAGTAAAATATTTTATTTGGAGAATTTAGACCTGTGGTGGGGGAGGTACCAGAAGGAGGGAAGGAGTCTACATACCAGACCTAGACTTGTTAGATAGATATTGGAATATGCGAAATTTTAAGACAATTGTCCTCTTATTTGACATTCTATAAGCGTTAAGATTATTCAAAATGTAGATCCTCTGTGAGGGAGATACTAGAAGGAGTCAGTCTCTATTGTCCATATTTGCACATAACCTAGCACAGATACAAATATTAGGATTTGCAAAGTTCAAACAAAATCGGATGGTCCTTTCAAGTTCTGTGGAGTAAATTATTTTCTGTCAACATTTTGACATTTTGTTAGGGAGGTACCAGAAGGAGTGGACCGATATTGTCCATCTCCGAATTTGATCTAAGTTTGATAATAACATTACGAAGTACCAGGTTTGGACCAAATCGGATACTCCCTTCAAGAGTTATAGTGCGCACCAACCAGACAGATAGACGGACGGACGAACATCGCTAGATCGACTCCAAATGTCCTGAAACGGATTTGGTTCAAAGAAAC